CTTTCCATACAAAATAGAAAATTCTAATTCTTGTGCTTAATGTAAAAGAGCACGTGGGAGTTTGTTCACAAGAATAAAAAAGAATATTGTCGCACAGTTGCATTATTGGCTTGTAAAGCTGTTACGTGTTTCAGAAATCACATCCAATTATCATACATTACTGGTCATAAATTGACACAAAACAGGGAATTTTGAGCTGCGGTTATGGCTGAAACAAGATGGATTCTCATACACGATCAATGCTATCTTAGTTAAGACAAAACAAAATGATCATAGTGTAATTGTGAAAATAGCAATTTAACAGTAATATAGTAATAGTAATTTAAGCAGTGTGCAATTGTTGCATTTTTCCTTTTTTGTCCCTTTGCTTTCTTCACATTATCTTTTCTGCTTGCAATTTGAAGCATTCTAATAAACTAAGCAAGTGGCAGAAACTTCCTGAAATATAGAATTATAGTGTTACATTTGCAGTGAACTATCAAACTTCTGTTCTCGCTGGGCAAGTATAAACAGCATTTGAGACACTTACTTTTCTGATCTTGTTTTGAAAGCAGGATCCTAAGGTAGAGTAAATGAACAAATCACAGTAATATGCATGGCAAAGAGCTAAATCTTGTTTAGGGCAGTTCATTTGAAAATTCCTCATTTGAAAATCTGAAATCATTGACATTTCTCTCACAATGGTTAAGTACTTTATATTTGTGTAAAAAATATTCATATTTCCAGTGCTGCTTTCACACTGTAGAAAATTGAAGGCCAAAAATAGAGCAGTGAGAAAACATTCTGTGTTGTTTCTCATCAGATGAACAAAATATCAAGTGAGGTTTAGCATGTAAGCTGAGGAGATATGTTGATGACAGACAACAAAACTGCAGCCTAACAAATTCAGTGTAGCTGCACTGAAGAACAGGAAATACTGAATTTTCAGTGTCTTGGCCGAGGTTTCCCGGAGCTTGCATGATGCTGAGTTTTGATTTATCAGATCCAGCCATTCTTTTTTCTCTTAGTCAAGTCAGGCAGGACATATAATTCTGCCTTTAGATTTGAGGTAGCTTTCTATCTTCTTGGTATATAAATAAGAAAGTTATTGAATTTTCAATGCAGATTCAGACAAAAACAAAGGGATTGTGAACAAGCTGGGGAAGCCTATCCAACAGACCTGGATTTCATGATGCACTAATAGAGGAACTGCTTCAGGGATAAATAAATGGACTTCATTTTCTGCAGTGATAAGAAGAGTTAAGAGATCAGCTAAAGCTCAATATTTACTTTGTGTTTCAGGAGGCAAGTTTTGTCTGAAACTTGCCCCACATCTGTGTATGTCTGTGATTTTTCAAAAACAGAAATTTTATTGGGTCAGTTTACATTGCTGCATGAGTTGGGAGAGGATTCAGTGACATTTCTGCCCACTGACACCTCAAGCACCAGATCAGTTCTCAGCCCTCCACCTCAGCAAGAGCAACGAATTGTTTCTTAACCAGCAGCTTACTCTGCACCAGTTTTATGTTCCTGTATAATCTCTGAAAGGAAAATGTTTTTGTACAGAGCAGCCCTGTGCCCTTTCTAACACCTCAGTGATTCAAGCAATAATCAAGTCCAGTATTAAATCACAGCAGTGATAATGTAGAGCGCTTAAGTCTAAAGTCCTGGAGCATTTTTCTTTTGCAGTCACCTTATCTCATTCTGCAGTCATCAGTACTTTTCAAATACAGAAGTGAACTCAGTACCATTTGCATATAAACGGGAGCTCTGGATGCTTCCCAGAAGAAATTTATGACCCTGTGTGGATGGACAGTCAAGGTCAGTCTTAATGGAGGAAGCATCCTGATACTGAGTTCATGGCAGTACCAGCACACGCACACAGATGAAGGGATACAGTTTGAAGCCAGTAGGAGACAAAATGTTTTTCCTTTTTTTTTTTTTCTGAGACATGAGGAATCTACTGTTTTTGTTAAGTCTGTGATGGTTTCAAAATTGCTGTTATTTAATCTTTGAAAATGATGGGCCTCTCATGGTACCTGCAGCTGCTAACCAACCCATTGCATCAAGGGCTTTGAAGTGCAAACATCGCAGACAGCCAAATGTCAGCTGTCTGGAATCTTCCTCTATGGAAGGCTTTAGAAGCACCCCTGACTGTCAGGATGTTTTGATTTGAATGGGAAAGCTTTTCAGGGAAAAAGTGTTCTTCTGTTTCAACTGTGAAAAAAAAAGCCAGCGGGTGCAGAACTTTGTACTCCCAACTCTGGTCTCATGCAAGAGAGTTTAAGCACTGAATGGCATTGAATGATGTACCGCCCTGTAACTTTGGGTGGTAAATTTTAATCATAGAATCATGACAATCCTCAATGAAATGAAATGGAAAGAAATGAAAAAAAATGAAGACTATTATCTTGGAAGTAATTCAGGTAACAATTTCATGCTCTAGAAGGTAAATGTAGAAGGTAAAAGGTTCACTCTCACGATTTTGTTTGTATTATTAAATTTGCATATGAGGGTAAGGAATGAGAAATTTCAGTTTCACTTTTAAATTTCAGTCAGAAGCAGGCTGCCTGCCAATATAGGCTGCTCCTCTGCCCACATTTCTGAATAAGCAGTGGTGAGTTGAGGAGAAATCTGTCTTTTCAGACCTACAGATGGTGGAACACACTTTGTTTTATAGTTGGACATCCTGAGCACTTACCCAGTCAGGTTGTTTCCTTTCAGAAATTAAAAATGCATTTTCCACACATTCAAAAGATGTTCAAAAGATGCTTCCGTTCATTAAAATTTAATCCTTCACTGTGGTGCTAATATGGAGTAACTGTCTACGGGCCATGAGTTAACATTCTTATTCCTTTTGCTGTTCTTCTGAGAAGACAGTGATTATTAATTAAAACTTTGAATAGCAGAACAATGGATACAGTGTATAAACAGATAAATGACTTCATAGATAAGCATGCTTTGATCAGCAGATGCTGTTTTGGCAAGATGATTTCTGTGAACAAGGAGAATGGCATCTCAAAAACCCTATTCACAGTACAAAGTTTCTCCATTTAAGCCTTCCTTCTTTGCCCTTTTTCGGGATGTGTCCACCCAGAATAAAAATAGGACATCCCCTTCCCTGTCAGTTTGTTTGTGAAAAATATTAAAGAGAATTCAGAAGAATAAATGAAGGTTGAGTTTAATTATTTGCATGTATTTTAGTACTTGTGTTTCATTTCTGAAAATGGTACCTGCCTCATTTGGCAGAAAAACTATGTTTAGTTCTCTCCAAATTAAGATTTCCTTTCTGTTTGCAATTCAGTGAGGGGTTGAGTGGAAAGAAGATGTGAAAAAAAAAAGCGCAGTTCATTACACAGCTTTGCAGGATTTTCCATTGAGGAACCCTCTTCGACTGGCAGTTCCAGACAGTATTAGATACTGCCATATTTGGAAGATGGGATCCTTAACCACTGATTATTTTTATGCTTTGAACTGTTGCTTTTTTGACAAGGTTGGGGTGTTTTTGGACAGACTCCTCTGAATTCTGGTTTGGCAGTGAATGGAGGCTGCTTTCACAAACCCTCTGCAAAGTGCAGTTGGAAATACTTACACCATGCTTTGTCACATCACCGATTAAAATAGTGCTTATGTTTTTCTAAGGGGTTTTCTGGTAGCGCTGCCTGTGGTAACAAGTAAAACTGGTGTGTTAATACAGTGCTACTTGTGATCTAAACTCTTCCTTCTCATAGCTGTTTTCTTTCACCACCTCCTCTCAGGATTTTGTTAAGACCACTGATTTGTCACAGTAAATCAACGTGTTTGGCAGCTCTTTCTAATTCATCAGCATACATTTTTGAGCTTCTGTTTTGATTGTACCAGCAACAACAATAAATACAAACAAAAAAACAAACCAAACACACAACTGATTCAGTAAATGTAACTTCTCAGACTTTGTAAGCCAATAGAATGCTTGAAACAGTCATGTAAAATTAAATAGTCTTAAAATTAGCAAGAAGTAAGGAATTGATGCAAGTCCGCAGGAAATATCTTGTCTGGATGCCGGACATTTGAAATTTCAATCCTTCATATCCTAGAAAGCTGGTGCTTTAAAGACTTTCTACTTCTTTTAGTAGAAGGTATTCAGGCATAAAAAGCATTGACTTTCTTGCAGTAGAATCATTGTTGGCTCTCCCTAGCACGAAAGTTGAGGTAGCATACAGGTATGAGCATTGACAGAGCGCTAACCTTCAGGCATTATTGCTCAACACCACTGCGTGTGCAGCATATGCAGTAGCTAGTATCAGAGGTCAGCAGCAATGTTAACAGTTCTTTCCAGCAGTAACTTCACTGTCCTTTATCTGCAGATGTAAAAAAGAGGCAGAAGAAGGAATCCTCCTGACACAGACTTTACATGAGAACCAGATTACCTTTATAGTACTGGACTTTAGGTCATGCTTTTTACCCCTTTCATGCAGGCAACTTTAGGGAGAGGCTGGATCTAATTGGCTGTACAGCAGGGTTCATACTTCATACATGAGTAGAATAGCATCCACATAATGCTTAAAAATGAGGAAGCTAAGAGTATTCCGCATAATAAAATGCATCCTTTTCCTTCCTAAATCTGTCGTCTATTTACCTTCAATATTTATGTGCACGTATGTGCTAGGTAATTGAATAACAGAAATAACATTCCTCTGGTTCTTTACATCAATTAACATAAGATTGTATAAGAGGCCTGGGCTAAATTAAGGTGCTTGGATCAAGGGTAGTCTAAGCCAGTTGTATTACTGGCATTCTGTAGTTTGGGCTTTTGGTCATGGTAAGGCAGTATAATTCATGTTGGTCATTTGTTACGAACAGATTCAACAAATTAGACATAGTCATTACTGTTCCTGGCAAAAAGATTTTTGAGCTTTTTGTCAAAGCAGTGAAAGTAGAAAATAAGCAGTTCCTCTTAGGATTTGACCCTCTTGAATTAGTCTATGATGAATATCAAGATTTCGTGCTATAATTGCAACTGCCCTGTTTGTGTCTTGCAGTGAGCCACCTCTATGGATTTGGACTGATGGATGCTGAAGCAATGGTGATAGAGGCAGAAAAGTGGACAACAGTCCCTCCACAGCATGTGTGTGTAGAGAACACGGATCGGCAAATCAAGTAATACCCGCTGCCAAAACTCTTGCTGGCATAAACTTGTGGAAATAAGTTGGGTATAATTTACCCTGCCTTGCACTGTGTTTAATTTGTCATTTTGAAAGCTACACTTGGAATCTCTGTCACCTTCTAAGATATCAAGTCATTTGCCTCTAAAGGTTGCTTCCTCTAATGACTGGATAAAGGCCTTAATTTAAAGAATGTCCTAGAGGTTGAAGGTACAAAACAAGCCAGATTTGATGGTGATCAATGCTGTTACAGAAGTAGAAGAATATGTAAGGGGAAGAATGTTCACTTGAGTATACTGCATTCATTTTTGTAAGATGAGTGCAAACTTATCAGTCAAGGTCTGGCAGGAAGATACTCTTCTCATTAATAAATTACCTGATAGTATCTCTCTCAAACAGTCTCAGGAGAGTCTGTCTCATAGGATAAGACCAAACTGCCCTCTGCTTTCTAGGATAGGGTGTGTATAGAACCAGGCTTAAGAGCAAAATTCAGTATGTGCGTTCTGTGGCTATATCCAGTCTAGTGGTTCATTTCCAGTGCATTAAGGTCATTGAAGATACTTTGATTGATAGGTATGTTTGACAGACTTGACCCATAACTGGTATAGTCTGCAAGGATGCCATGCCAGTTTTAACTAGCTGATTCAGATACTGGTTGCCCAATATTTGCTACAGTTAACATGTAATATTTGCTATTACGTAAGCAAGGACTGTGTCTATGCCAGGCATTTCCTGGGGCTTAACAAGCAGCTGTGATCCCATGACAATCCCAACAATTCTCAGCTGGCCACTAATCTGCAAAAATGCTCTGTCCCAGAGACTTATTCCATTACAGGTTATTCACAGGTCTCTTTCAGCATGTGGTCGTATCAGTATAGCCTTCAACAGAAAGCGTGGCAGTTGCCAGTAGCTGCAGTAAAATAATTACCCCGTAGTGATAGTTTCAGCTAGGAAGTAAAGTGCTAAAACTAAGGACATTCGGTACTAAGCTGAAATGGTTGGGTTGTCTTATTTTACAGGATAGGGAAGAAGTGCTGATGTTTTTTTATATGCTTACATTGTAGAACAATAAGACCTGACAGTGTCGTCCGTTCAATTTACAAAGCCACAGGCTGTTCTGATAATCCTAATCACCACGTGATCTACTTGGAGCACGTTGTTGTGCGCATCACTATTACTCACCCTCGACGTGGAGACCTGGCGATTTACCTAACCTCCCCTTCTGGAACCAGATCACAGCTCTTGGCCAACAGGTATAGTATGACAATGCAGTTTCACAGTCCAGTCAGCCTGCAGGAACTGCAGTAAGATTGCAGCATCAGAGAAGGTCAGTCAAGTCATTACAGTAGCTTTGCTAACAGACACAAGCTAATCATTTTTTGGGGAGAGAAATGGAGAAAATTAAGTGGAAATGAATTCTGAGATGTCAAACTCAGACTTTATCTGTAGAATAGTAGACTGTAAATCATCTTTAAAACAGAAGTTTGATTTTAATAGTCTTGTGTAGTTCAGCAATTATTAGCTGGCTGGAAAATTTGAAGTGAAAAGTAACAGGCTCAGTGTTACAGAAGGAAACAAGCTGAAAGAAAATGTGTTTCTAGATACTATTTGCATTTATTTTTCATCTCTCTCCTATATTATTATTCTTTCTTCACTAGCAGTAAAAATCAGACAGAATAGTAATTTTCTACTACCATTGTCTTTAAGCTTTATGAATGTGATTATGACTTGTGGTGTTAGCAATTTGCGTCCTACTCTTCGGGATTATTAATGAATGTAGACTTGCTTGCTTTCCAAACTGCTCCACATCTAAATAATCCCACCCGGTTTTGCTAATACAGTGGCTATTAAGACATGAGGAATTGCATGCCTTCCTGGCCTTCAGTGATAGGCAGAATGACATATCTTTCCTCTTGCAAGGAAGGAGTTGTTTTGGAGACAGAGCTCAAAAGTATTTGGTTCTGATTGAGATATAAATTGAGATGTAAACCCACATATTAATTAGAGCTCAATCTGAAAGAAAAGATGTAATAAAAATATTCTTCAGTGTAGAGACATTCATGCATCAAATGGAGAGCAAGTAGTACCGGAATTTTGAGGCCCTCTAGACTATCTCCTGTGTGTCATCGTGAGTGCCATCAGTTCCTTGCTGATAAAACACATAGGTATGCACATCTGTGTGTCTTCACTGTGCTACACTGAATGAAGAACTTGCCCTTTGCTAACCATAGCAAGGCTAACCACTTTGAGCAGTTGTGAATCAGCCTTTTGTGTTCTCTGTGAAAAAAATTACACTTTTCTATTCCATTTTCATGCAGCCATTCTTCCATGCTTCAAAATGAGAAAGTCTGAAACTCCTCCACCTAGCTATACAAACAAAACAACGTTGTGTAAACCCAGTGGTTGTAACACAGCTAACGTTTGGCTCCAAGCAGTTGACTCACAGCAAGTGGGAGATAAAGACTATAAATTCTAGTATTTACAGTTCACCTCTGGTGATGACTGATATGTGGGAGAGGTACAAAGTTTAATTCATGCAGCCTCTTTGTAACTCATATACCTTAGAACATGATTTTTTGTACACATGGTAGAGAGAGAATACAGAAGTTAAAAAAACAGTGATTTTCAGCTTTTTCTTAAAATACATTATCAGAAGGCTAAGCAGAAAATAAATGTGAAAGGCATTTTAATGTTTTCCTTTTTGCAAAAATAAATTATTAATGAGAGAGCAAATACTTGTACAGTCACATCAGAAATGACTTTCCCATGTAGGTTTCATGACTTTCCCATGTAGGCTATGCTGACTTGTCAGTCACATCTGGTTGAAACAAACTCACAGCTCCGGGTTATTAGTATTAAGGAATAGATGTATTTTGCAAACTCTGGGTCTGAAATTCCTAGAGTCCTCACAAGCCCTTTCTTATCATAAAGTGGTGGATATGCACACAGTACTTTTCAGAATGATGTTTTAAGGTTTGCTTTATTTGGAGCTGCTGCAAGAACTCCTATAGCTTACTGGTCTTGCAGATAGCATACTGAGTGCTGCTGGGTGAACATCTATGCATCATGAAGTTCTGTTATTCACGAATATAAGAATATATTTACTTTGGGGGCATTAAAATGTTAAAGTATTAATCATGACACCATCAGGATAAAGGTACTCTAATAGAAGTAACATGCAGGGATACAATGGCAGAAAGCAGTCTGGTGTGTTTTTTTTTTCTATAGGCAGAGGTCCCAAAGGCTGCTGTACATGGCTACTACCTGACCGAGACGCTTTTCTCAGACACACAAGTGCTTTTAATGCACACATACATGATTAATAGCAGCAATACCAGCTGTTTTTACTGAACCCAAGGAAAACCTCATTGCTTTACCATTACTCATCTGAGTTTAATTTGAAACAGTTTGCTGGTAAAATGTCTTAAAGTGCAAAAGGTATATTTTACACATGTGCACTTCTTCTCCACCAATTCTGGGAGAAGTCATTGAGTATTTTCTGGTGCACTGACAAACAGGTCCCTCAAGGCAGTATCTGGCCTTTTTTTCTGCATATTTTATCCTTAATGTTGGCATCCCCTAAAGTGACTTCAGTAAGAAAACTTGTTAGTCAGAGGCAATGTGGATTCCTCTGCAGGCATTTGGTGGATTACACTGTCACTGGCTTGAGCCTCTTGTGCATTCTTCAAAAACTGCATTACAGGGAACATCTGCTTTGTTGTTTGGAAAGTACTAAACATGATTACATTGGATGTACTGCAACAGAGCAAAATACAGGCTTGGAAAGTGCTGGCTGCAGTGAGGATGAGGCTACAGTTATGTCCAAAGGGGAACAATATCCCCTTTCTGAAAACAATTGGCCATTGGATTTGGCAGCATCATTTTCTGAGTGGTTTTGAGACACATTAAGATCTGTAAGAACAGAAACTCAGTACAGGGAGCCATGCAGGAAAAGCTGAATAGAAAAAGGATAGAAGAAGCAAACTTGGGGCTCGTTTGTCTCCTACTGAAGTCACGGTTTGTTTAATTCTTGCCCTTTAAATTTAAAGCAGCTGCTGCCATTCGAACTGCGTAACTGAAATTTTTAGCCACGTGGTGGCAAGTTTCCAGGCCACTAGCTTCCTATGCTTATATGGCACTGACATTAACAGTATACTATATCTACAGGATGAAGCAGTTCTAAGAAAACTGTTTGTTGCAATTCTTATGTGGTCTATTTTATTTCATTAATATTGCCTATGTCTTTTAGTTTAGTTTTGGTTAGACATTCACAGCCTTTCTTTGAAACCCTGCAATTGTAATGTCTATGCATCTGAAAATTATCCAAGTACTGCTTTTGTTATACTCTGTCATCATTAGCATTAGATCAGGCAAAGAGTTCTGAGAGTAATAGAGACCAGTAGAGACCCGACATGAATAAATAAATTTAAAAGGTAAAGGTTTTTTTTATTACTGTTGATCTGCCCACTTCTGCAGCAAAGGCTGATGGTATTTATATGCAAAAGAGTAAATGAATGCATGTAAGTGACACCATCTTCCATGAAACTTTAAAATCCATCCTGGAACATGCTCAAAGATAGATGTGGAAGAATGAAGTGCAATATATCTGAGATTTAGAATGACACGTGCCTTTCTTTCATAAGTGAGAGGAGCAAATCATTAATCAGAGGGATCTGCACCATAGGCATGTATGGGATTATAGTATTCAATATTTCTATTTCAGTTTCAGTAGAAAATTAGAATCTATAATTAAAATTTCAAATTTATTTTCCGTAGTAGAACTGCAAGTGAAGACAAATGGGTAAGCACATGTTTAGGATGCAGCTAAACGTTTTAGTGTTGTATTAAACAAAACAAAACAAAACAAAAAAAGAAGTATAAGACAGACAAGAGGAAGAATGCCTAGGATTTACATGTGGTGTAGCCAACACACCCAAAGGGCAGATGCTGCTATCAGTACAAATAGGGGATGTAAGGATAGAGTACAAGCCTGCTGAAAAGAACTTAGGGGTACTGGTGCATGGCAAGCTGGGCATGAGCCAACAGTGTACTCTTGTAGCCTTGAAAGCCAACCGTACCCTGGTATTCATCTAAAGAAGTGAGGGAGGTGATCCTGCCCCTTTACTCTACTTACCTCACCTAGGGTACTGTGTCCAGACGTGGAGTCCTCAGTACAGGAGAGACGTGGACCTGATAGAGTGTGTCCTGAAGAGGGTCACAAAATGATCTGAGGGATGGCACTTGTCTGCTGTGAGGATAGGCTGAGAGAGCTGGGGCTCCAGGTTCAGCCTGGAGAAGAGAAGGCTCTGGGGACACATAATAGCAGCCTTTCAGTATCCAAAGAGGAGCTATAAGAGAGAAAGGGACAGACTCTTTAGCAGAGTCTGCTGTGATAAGACAAGGGAAACTGCTTTCAAACTAAAAGAGGGGATATAGATTTAGACTGGATATTAAGAAGAAGTGTTTTTTTACAATGAGGGTGCAAGGTGCAGAACAGGTAGCCCAGAGATGTGGTGGATTTCCTGAACACATTCAAGTTCAGGCTGGATGGGGCTCTGAGCAATCTGATCTACCTGCAGATGTTCTTGTTCACTGCAGAAGAGTTGCACTAAATGACCTTCCGACTAAAGTCTCTTCCAATTAAAATGATTATTTGATTCTATGATTCTGTGACAAAATGGTGCCTGACACAGAAGTGAGTATGAGGGAAAGGTATGGGTGGAACTGAAATCCTCCATGCAGAAAAAATTGTACCCATTGACATTTCTCGACACTTGCTGAACATTTATGGAGACTAAACAGTGAATGTGAGCACAGTGAGATGGTGGGTGGTGTGTTTCAGCAGTGATGACAGCAACAGTTGGGTCACCTCTGCTGGTGCCAATTTTTAGAAGTGTGGCATGCAGCCTCTTCTTCAGTGCTGGTGAGATATGTAGCTAATAGTAGTGACTGTGTTGAAAAATGCAATGGTTTATAGCTGAGAATTTGCTCTATGAAATAGTGGTTTTGTTCTCTTTGGATCTGTGGTAGTTTCCAAGGAAATAAATTGGAGGCATTAGTTTCAGAGCAACCTACATACATTTGCACCAACAACAATGGTGAGAATGAATGAATCTTTTCCTAGCTGTATGTAGATTTGGCTCACCTCAATCTTACCATAATCTTACCATATCAGCATCATGTTTCACTTTGAATGAATTGAATTATATGACAGACAGCCAGTCTGAGCCTAGTCAGTTATCACTTTTCAAAC